AAGGCAAATCAGCAATTCTACTCCATCTGAGAACCAGCACAAACAGGACTGACAGCCCAAACTCACTGGAATGTGCCTCCCTCATCCCCAGTGTGTCATTGCAGTCAGCATCTCTGCCGAAATCACTGGGAAACAAAAGCATATCCAGAGAAAGACTTAAATCACAGAACCATACAGCAATTAAAAGTCATGCTCATAACAGAGTCATTAGTGCTGATTCTCACACTCTTTACATAGGAGCTGCATGTAATAATCATTTCAATTAAATTACGTTTCTCCAAGGTGCATTAACCACTTTTATCCATCCGATTAATTGGACCCATCTCTACCGCATGGAGCAAAATTGCATCACTCCAGAGGGAAAGCAGTTAATAAAAAGTGTTGTTGCAGTACTAATGCAGGAACATTTTGCTATCAAGCACGTACACTCACACACATTTATCATGAATTGTCTGCTCAAGCATAGACGTGTGGCTTTGCCTGCACACATGTAGCTAAGCACACCTAGTAGGCACACATCTGCTCTTGGAAAGGACAATTTGCTCAAGGCTTGCATGTTTTGCAGCATCAGCATCTCCAGAAAATGTCCTCGAAGTCCAGGGCTATCAGCCAATTTTCTTTGCTTCCTGGGACTTCACTTCCATGCCCCTCACCACCCTATGGCTCTTCACAGGGCTAATGGTGCTCTTGCACTGCCTGGAGTCTGCAAAGAGGAATCCTTTCCTTTACCCACTGCAGGCACTGCATGCAGCCTTTCTGTGGCTGGATATGCACTTTCCTGTGCTTTCCTAATTACTGCTATGTGATGGGGCAATTTGCCAGTTGCAGGGATGCCACAACAGCATGCTCTGATCCTGCTGCTCCCCTTCCTCTTAGGGTGCAGCACCTGGCAATTCTGTTGAAGGCAACAGCTTCAGTGATGGAAATTGCATAGGGCCCAATTTGTGCAGGAAAAGCTGACCTGCTGCCATGACCTGGGGGTGAGATTTTATTTACTTGAGAGGGATGAATGTTTCCATGCAAATTCTTCAGGCACTCAACCTCAATCTTCAGATTCGTCTCAACAAGAAATGAAGGGTGATGCCCCCCACACAGCAGAGGAGACATCATTGCTGAACAGCAGCAGAAAAGGGGCAGCACACGTAAAATATGGTGCATGAGACACCTGGATGTGTGCATGGTAGTCACAGTGCATTTGCAGCCTGTTCACAGACACCATGGCAGGGTACATGGGATGGCGCCCCAGCTGCATTCCTAATAAGAGGCAAGAACAGATCTTAAAACACTGCCTGTTGACTCTAGGTTTTGTAAATAAGATCATTATCATAGAATCGTTTGAGTTGGAAAGGACCCTTAAAGGTCACCTAGTCCAGCTCCCCTGCAATGAACAGGAACTCCATAGCTCCATCAGGCTGCTCAGTGCCTGGTCCAGCCTGGCCTTGGGTATTGGTCAGCAAGCCCAGACACTCATGATTGCTGTTTCTCTATGAGAACAACTATCCTGACACCTCTTGGGAATTATAAAGGAGAGCTGCCAAACGTGCCCATGTGAGTAATGCCCACATGGACTTCATGGAGTGGAGCTAGGATGTGAAGGTGGGCACTGGAACCTTACAAGGTTCCCCAAATCAGCAGTGGGTTGAATGAAGCAGGAGTGGGAGACAGATGGCCGATGCCAGAGGTAGAGGTCTTTTCCAGGATGCTGCCCAATGAATCTCTCATCTGCTCTGAAGGGAGGGCATGGGGAATGGCAGAGCACATGTCTGTATGTCTACATGCAGGCAACTGTGTTGTAGGAGGGCAGCTGTCTCATTTACTCTCTCTACAGACACAGGTAATACAGCCTCAGCAGCACGCAGTTATCAAAATGTTATAAATTGCTACCTTTTAAATACTGTGGTAATTTGCTAGTCCATTACAGCAAGAACTGCAGGATACCAGGAACACAGGGAAAAATTATGCCTTCTGCGTCACTGTTGACCTCCACAGCTGAGATGCTCTCAGAACGGCTCCATTATGTCAGCCTACCCTGTGCAATTAGCCATCCATCAGAGCTTGTCAGCGTGTCACAGGGCCATGGAAGACACCACACATTCCTGATAGTCCCCTGACCAGAAATGTTTCCTGCAAATGTGCCATCCACAGTCATGTTGGTATGACTGCTGTCTGCACACTGCTCCCAGCACAGGAAACCCCAGGCGCTCTGTAGCCACTAAAGGCTCTCTCCTGTACCTGAGCCTCCATAGCTCCTCATAACTGTGGCATACAGCTGTTTACCAGCTCAATATTTCCTGCAGTTTGGGGAAGGGGGTAGCTCCAGGCCTATCCAGCTTGCACCAGGAGAGTTATGTCTCTTACATTGTTTTTGTGCAAGGCAAAGGGTTATTTCTCCTAACCCATGTTTATTTTCTGCACGTTAATCCCTCTGAACTTAAACCTCTCATTTATTTTATGTGCTTAGATATTTCCTCATGAGTTGCAGGTGAAGTCCATATCCTGGCACACACATAAAAGCAAATGCAGAAGGAATGTGTCCTGGCAATATACACATCATCCCTGAAGATAAATCTTTTCTTGCTGGGAAGGAAAATGCATACATTTCAGGACACAAGTAAACACGTAAATACATGATGTGCTACTCCTGGGCTTTCTGCTCAGGAGGCAACATGACAACTTGCAGTTCCTAGAAAACTTGAAAGCAACTTACTTACACACTGCTTATTAAAACACAGCAAATCCTAGGGAACAGCTAGAACCCAGGAAACACGCACAGTGTGCTGCCATCACATCACAAACACCAAATACACGTGTTGCTGCCATTCTGGTCCAGGAAAACTGCAAAATATAGGAATGCAGCACTGCGGTGCGGGATCTGCTGAACCACCAAGCAGACAGAGGAGTGTCAGCTGGCTGGCAGAGCCTCACGGCGGGGTCCCCAACCATCCTGCAGTCCTTTAGGAGCAGCCAGGCTGCCTGCTGCCCTCCTCGACATTCCCTGGGACGGTGGGGATGAACGTACAGGGCAGTGCCAAGCAGAGGCCAACACCTCTCAGGTTTGTTTCCTCTACATCCGTATTTCTCACAGGAAACACTATCAGGGAGCTCTGCGGGATCGTGAATATGAATTGCTTTGACCTCACTTAGTGTGATATGGCGGAGTATTAAATCTCTATTTTTCAAGCATTAAGCCGGTGTAATAGAAGGATGCTGCGAGCAATTTGCAATAAGATGAAGGGATATTACTGTCCTGGGAGACAGACAATCCAACCACATCCACAAATTGATAACAGAGATAGTGGCTTAGGTTCATCCTAGCTATTAATTAAGGGCATGTTTTATGTGGAAGATAATAACAGCTTACACAGGCAGGTACTTGTTGGTCTTCCCTTCCCTGTTGTGAGCAGCGTTCCTGGAGCTGGAGTGCAGCCAGGTGGGTCAGCGTACCTTGCTGAACCTCAGATCATGCACTTACATCTGAATCTCTGACAGGCAAAATTAATTTCTCAAGCCTTTAGCACAGCAGTGTTGGAGCCGCTGTGTGCCTGCACGGGAGCCGTGCTGCTGGGAGCTGCTGTGCAAAGCCCTCCTCCCGGGGACATGCAGAGGCATGGCCAGAGCAAAGGGCTCACAACTGCACTGATAGCCAACGTGTCTCTAGCCATTAATGAGCAGCTAACCATGTCCCGAGCTCTTCCTTTGCCCTCAGAACTCGCTGCCTCATTATCTGACTGATCCCCAGCTCTCAGGGAACGAAACCCAGAATCTGATCTTGTTCTTTCTTGCCTCTGCGTTTCTCATCTTCGCTGCTGGCATCACCCCCTCAGCCATGGTACGGGTCCCCTCTCCCACCCAGTGCCCCAGCAGGCGCTCTCCTCCTTCCTTCCGCTGCAGTGAGTGCAGTGGGACTCTCACAATTCCCAGTCATTGATTCAGGTTGATTACAGGGCTGCTACCCTTTCTCCTAATTATCAGCAGAATATTACCCTCTTACAACCTTCTTCTCCTTTCCCTAGAATTTACCAGCCAGCCCACAGCATGCCCTGAAAGCTGCTCTCTGTGTCACCACATAAGATCCATCGCTGCTCCCATTTCACTCAAGGAATTGTCTCACAGATCGCATTCTTCTCCCCTGGGCACGGCCAGCCCTGCTGAGGGGGAACGTGGTGTCAGACTGCTCTTCTGGAGAGTGCCTGCCCCGCTGGCTGCTGCCCAAAGTGTTTTGTAGAGCTGAATAATGTAGATCAGCAGTGGAAATTCATATGTAAGACCGGAGGAGATTGCGCAGAAGTCCTGTATGACAAATCAATTAAAGCATGCTTTCCTACAGCAGGTACCTATGGAGAGGAACAGAGTCAGAGACAGATTGATGGGATAAGGCTGGGGAGGCAGAATTTTTTTTTTTTCTTTTTTTCTTTTTTTTTTTTGTATGCTTACAGACGGGGTTAGAAAACAGCTGGAGAATTGCAGTGGTGAGGACAGAAGATCGCTCTCGCTGACTGCTGCCCACCCCAAAGCCCCACAGTGGGGCTCACACACAGCCCATGCACACATTTCTGTAAAATCACACTCAGAGATGCTGAGAGCTTCCAGAGCAGAGGTGTGAGACTTTACAAACCAAGGCAGTTCCTTAAAGACTTCCCTCATCAATCCCCCTCCACCCACTGCTTTCACTGGAAGGGAAGTCCAGGGCAAAGCAAAGCCATGATCATTGCCTGGAAACAAAGATGTCCCACATTGCAACAGAACAGTGCACACATTGGCTGTGCCCATGAGATGGACAAGATGGGATTTGTCACGTGCCCCAACATCTCAGTAAAGCGCTGAGCAGAGGCAAGGGCCGAGGGAGCAGGCTGCTGGAGAAGGGCAACGTGGCCAATGGAAAGTAAGGCCAAATAAGCAAATCAAAGGGAGAAAAAGAACAAGCTGGGAGTCAGACCCTGGGCTAAAGAGGTCCTTCAGCATCAGCAGCACCTGTCCATGGCCCGCAGACCCAGCTGGCATGGGAGCCTGGGTACTTTGCATGCCATGCATCCATACCACATCCCAGCCTGCTCTTTGAAGCCAGGATCTCTGCTGTATCCTGGCACATCGTGGATTACAATGTTTCAGGCTGCCTGCTGCAGCTCAGCTGTATGTCTGATCTTGGGTGAGAAATTTCTCTTTATACCAAACTGTCTATTCAAGTCATAAAAATAGGCCTTTTTTCCTTCTGTAAGTGCAACACTTTTCATATTTTTACTTCCAGCTGTCTAGATAGTATTTCACTTTTTTCATTTCTAGTGCTCGCTCTCAGTTATTTAATGTGAATTTCTAGGGCATGGTGCCCTTAGCAGACATCAGAGCAATATAACACAAGAAATCAGATATATACTGTTCCAGGAGAAGGCAGGAACAAAAAGACAAACTAGGCTCTTAATACATATGGTGCTTTTGATTCATGGAATATAGAAAATTGTATTTGATTATATCTGTAATGGATCCTCGTAACTTTAGATTAGGGTTATGCTGATGGCCCAACTAATGGACACTTTATTGCAGGAATAGATTTCATCCCATCATATTTTTTTTTCCTGGTATCAATTACTTTGAACATTTAAATGTCTCATTTCTCTGGATGTTTATTGCTCAATTTTCTTTTCTAAATAATAATAATAATAATAATAATAACAACCAAAACAAAAACCCAACAAACCCTACTCACACAATGCCCCCAATGTTTCTCTGCCAAGTTGGAAAGACCAGTTTGCCTGCTCCTGGAACCTGGAAGCATATCATCATCTACCAGGTACATAGGTCAGAAAAAGATTAATATTTGTGGCTTACAGCTGTTGAAATCATCCCAGCGTGTGAGCCATGAGGTAATAGAGTCAAAGCTCTCTTAGCAGACAAGTGGATGCTATTGGAAAGAAAAGAAAGAAAAAAAAGAAAAGAAAAAAAAAAAAAGAAAGCTCATTAAATTAATCTGTCTAAGAAGGAAAAAGAACTTGTGGGATTGCTGCCTGTGAGATTAACAGCAAATCTGATGATAAAAGAGGTTGGAAGCAAAGACGGTTTGGTGGAGAGCATCTCGTTTTCAGTCAACTTATATTAGAAAAGCCCTGAAGAATAGAATCATTAAATTATTACTCTCTGAAGCAGTGCAGAAGGGCCTTGGAGGAAATGCTGTCATGTCAGTAAAGAGTTTAAGAGTCTGCGGAGGTACCAGAGATGTTCCTTATTGATTTGAAGGCTGGGGGCAGAGGGCAGGAGGTTGGAGGATTTTTTACTTTGACTGGCTATAACTGTGTTGGAAACTCTCAAGAAAAAAAAAACCTTGCAGAGGAAAAACTCCAGCACTGTCCTACTTTAAATACAGCTGAGCTGCTTGACACTGGCGATTTCAGGCTGATCTCTGCTACGCACTTCACTGCAGTACGTGCTGCCCCATCCAGAGCTGATCACCACCAGCCAAGGGGTGTGTGAGGTCCGTTTCCCCAGGGGGCAATGATCCCCAATCAGGAAGGGATACAGAGCAGTCTGAGGACGTTCCTCAGTGCCACGACTGAGGAGGGTAGCAGGTGTGCCTTGCAATGGGTGCCTGACAAGGAGAACCTGTTTTTTTAACCTTCAGATAAATTCTTCCATTTGGCCAACGTACCCAGAGGAGGAGAGAACAGTCCTGATGAATTTTTCAATTCAGTCTTGATTCCTTGGAGAAAGAAAAGAGAAAAACCTGACACTGGGATGTACGAGGGATGCGTCACGAACAGCAAGGCTGCTGCACTCAGAAGATCAGGTCTTCCTGAGCATTCCAAGCCCCAGGCACCTGGCAGGTATGTCCCTTTCCACCTCCATCACTGTGGAACCTAGCACCAGAAGCTCCAGGTTCCCCACAGTGCCTGATGCACTGCTCACATGGCTCTGCCTGGCTGCGGCTCTGCAGAGATCACTGCAGGCAGTCGGGGTCCATGCCAGGCACTGCTCTCCTGAAGACCTCCATCTGCCTCCAGACAAGACTGAATGGCCATTCCAAGGACCAGGAATGCCCCTGGGTTGGCACATGGAGCAAGACAAAGTCCACACGCTGGGAGAAGAGCCAGAAGAAAAGGCGCATCCGCTAAAAAGTCATGTAAAGGCAATCACTGCTTTTCCATGTATGGATTTGCAGAATGTCACTGCCTGAACTTGGGAAAGGATTCACAGTGGGAGCAGGGGCCCAGAGGAAGCAGCATCCCTGAGTTCAGCTGCCATGGACTACAGAAAGAGGAAATTCACTCGCAGGGATAGGATCATTGCTTCCTGTCTCTGCGTTTTCCCAGAGCCTTCCACTCAGTACCCTGCTGGAGGCCCTACTTGAACACTTCTGTATATTGGCCCCTGCATGTGGCACCAGACCAACCATAGGCTCCAACAAGGACAGACAGGAGTGGGGATGTGCCTAATTAGGGCAGAAACACCGGGGACCTGGATGTGCAGACCTGCCTCGACCTCCGCTCAAGCACAGCCATTCACACACAGGCTGCATGTTATTGCTGCTCCAAGAAGAGAGCTAGATCCACTTATTTTTTTCATTAAAATGCAAATTAATTTAATAAAAAGTAGAATTGTAAATTAATGAAGCACTTAAAAATTCTCCGTAATACAAGGCTAATACTTACTCTGTAGAATTTCCTCCAGTTAATATCACCACTAACTCTCCCGAGTGGGACCAACCTGGCAGCTCCTCCAGTCTCAATCAGTCTCTTTGATTGGTGATGGGATCGGAGCTCACGTCGCCTTTTTTACTACTTTCCCATCACTGGGGGCAGTTGGGGAGTCCGCCTCCTCTGCAGGAAACCCATCCCGCCAGGCTCTGCCTGCACTCAGGAGCAGAGATGCGCTGTCTCCCCTAGGAAGAGTGTTAACGCACCTCTGCAATTCGCTGCAACCCGATGTGAAGAGAGCAGGGCTGCTGCCCTGAGCAGAGCTGCCCTCCCACGACGTTCTGCTGCAATAACATCACAGCTGCCTCCCGTGTCGGCTTGGGACCTATTTGAGCCAGAGACTGTGCATCCACGGTCCATTTTTTTCCCTAACACGAAGTGCCAGATTTCAGGCTCGACTCCAACGCCAGGATGCGCAGCATGCAAGCTGTGGGGCTCTCTAACAAAGGGCTGCTGGCCACCCCCATCCCACTGCTGTCACAATCACAGGCACACCGACTACCATGCAGAGCTTCCCTGAGAGCAGCGGGACGCTCAGCAGCCCCTCCATCTCCAGCATTACCGCCCGTCTGCAGGATGGGAGCAGGGGAGGAGCCTTGCCTGGCAGGAGGTCAGCTATGGCTCAGGTGCAAAGCTTGCTTTCTGCACTCTCTCTTTTTAACTAAGGCTTCTATGAAAACGATGTAGCACATTCAATCTTAAGACACAGTAGAATGAGTGAAGCATGCTCAAAAAAAAAAAAAAAAAAAAGAATAAAAAAATTGCTGGCTAAAGGAAGCAAGGTATTTCCACAGCAAGATCAACCCTTCCTGGCTTACAGGTCCACGTGTGAGCTTACTTTCTTCTTTATATAGAAGATAGAGAGAAAATGCAATTCTGAGAACAGTTCAGTTCACCCTAAGGTAAGCATACAAAGTAGGTCAGGTATACCACACGGCCAAATTGCCCTTCCTTCTCTCTCTGCTGCTATAAAAAGAGCCTGGGCAGGCAGCTTTTATGCAGACGTTACACTGGCCTGCGTTCAGAGTGAGGGGACACAAATCCTGCCTCTCTCCACTCTGGATACGGCCCAAGCCATCCCACGTGCACCCATCACAGCTCCCATATCGCAGAGCCTCGAGTGACACACGCAGTCCCAGTTCACATGTGGGCCCTGTGCCATGTATGGGCTGATGTATGGGAACCCATGGAACTGCCCTGCACACAACCTGCCCAGCTCTTCTCCCCTGGCCATGCAGTAGGGACCATGCAGGCTTCCTGCTGCCGTTAATCATTCGCCACACTCATTTATTGCCATGTATACACCACTGCCAGGAACATTATCCCTTAAATAAAGCTCACCCACCCTATTATTGTAATGTCAGCCCTGAACCTCTCAGATAAGCCCTGCAGACAATTTATAATTACACAGAAGTAGCTCTTGTACACTGCACCAAGGGGCCATCAGGAGAGGATTTAGGTCTTTCACAGAGGCAGCATTTGACAGGTCTTTTTGCTGTTATTTCATCTTGACAGCTCCTTGCCACCCAGCTCCTCCCGTGGCTCCACACTCATGCTTTGTTGTGTGATCTCAGGTGAAGAGAGCATGTAATGGGCAATAATTGTGGGCGATTACTGTTTACTTGTTAACTTTGCTTGGCAGAGCAGCTGTGATGGATGCACGGACTGGAATATTCTCTTTATCCCCTGTAGCACTGAGAGTGAACTGGTGCTTAATTCAAAGGCTGAAATCTATAAAAAAGAAGACGAAACCCATCATTAAATTTCTCTTAGTGGCTATGTGCATAATTCATCCAAACACCATCAAATATAAATGGCCTCGTGTCAGGATGAGCAGTACAGGCACAGCAGATCCAACCTGCTCCAGGAGACAGAAACTGCGGAGAAGCCTCTCTCACACCCATTAATGAGATCAGCCACCAAAGCACATCCACGGATCTTCCTAGGCAGGACACAGTGATGGGATCAAGCTGCCTGCAAGCAGCCCTTGCTCCCGAGCACGCATGGCCCTGTCCTCACAGCACAGCCACCAATCCCTCACCAATGCACCACTTTATTTTTTTCCACAGTTTAATAACACTTGTATAGATTACGGTATCTAAATTCTTTATTGCTCCCCGCTAGCATCTGAACTTTGATTGGGAGCTGCATGACCTCAATTCCACAAGCAGCAGTCATGTACCAGTAAACAATCTGTGTTCCACACAAGCAGATGTTAATCTCAGTGGTTTAGCAAAGGCTTGCAACAAGTTTTCCAGAAAGTTTTGCGGTGGATTTTTTTTCCTTCCAATTATTTGAAAAACACCAAGTTATTTAATAAATCACAGCAAGTTGTTTTGCAAAAGTATCCTTTGAACCATTAGATATTATTGTGAATGCCAATTTTTCTTCCCACCTTATGGCAGTATAAAGATACCCCACTCAATTTTCATCAAAAGCACATGAAAGCAATCAAGGCTCCTGTAGTTTCTATGGAAATAAGGGATGCAAATTGGGATTGCGTGGTGTCTTTTTTCTTGAATTTATCCATAAAAATGCAAATACTCTTCAACAGATACTGAAATATTTGCCTTGTTCTAAGGGAGGCAAAATATACAGATGAGACTCTTTTGTCCACTGGCTCTCCTGGCAAAGCCATTTGACAGCTCTCAGAGCTCGTGCTATTGAAGCTGAACAAGTCCTGTCAGAGCATGAAAGCAGTGGCAGAACTTGCTCTGCCAAGAGCATGCCCAGCCCCAAAGGGCTGCAGCGTGCTCCAAGCAGGCCCCCAGCCACCCGCTGAGCAAACAGGCTCTCCTGCCCTATCCTACAATGCAACCTCCTCCATCTGCAGGTAGCGTGTGGATCCTCACCCACCCCGCTGCTGGGCTGGAAGACCAACATTATCTCTTTGGTGCAGGAAACAGATGAGAGAGAGGAACAACACAAACAAATCACATTTGTAATGCATCTGCTTTACTTTCCTGCCAGATGTTTCAAAGAACAGAAACACTGTGGAGGATATCCTGCCCCTGTGCACAATTCTCTTCCCACACCGCAGCTGGGACTGATCAAGACCCTGCAGCAGGAGGTTTAATTAATTCCCTTCCAACCTGAAAAATACAGAATAGTTAATGCTAGCAAAGGCCTTTGGGTTATTCCCCTAAGTGCTCTCCTGTTCTCTCCTCTTGTTCTGTAAGCCGCATTGTGTGCTTCATACACCACTTACCGATAAATAATCAAACAGCTCTGGGAAGTGCTGGGTCTCACTCAGCCACGTGGGGCCCTGCAGGGAGCTGGGGCTCATTCCCGGGGCACACTAAAAGCCGGGCAGTGGGATTTGGTATCGCTGCTGCCTGCCAGAATTAACAGCAAAGCCCAGAACCTCAGCACTGAACTCCAGAAATGAACTAGGCAATGCTGAATGGTTGTAAACCTGCTGTTAATTGTTTGTGCCATCACTGTACTGCACCTGAGAACAACAGCTAGATCAAAGAACTGAGCAGAGATCAAAACGATTAGTAGATCACTTCGCTTACAGCAGAAAGCACCAATTAAGTATAGCAAAGCTGTAGTCTGGTTTAGTTGCTTCTCTTAACAGCTCTGGAAAAGCCACTCAGCAGACAGTAGGAAAGAAATAATAATCAGGAAGGTCCAATTGCTTACGGTACAGACAGAGAGAGAAGCCACGGCAGCCATCCATGGGCAGACCATTGTGAGATTTTCTTCTCCAAAGGTGCTGAACATCCTCATGAACTTATCACACCCCAACCCACCACGAGGCCATCCCTGCACTGCAGAGGATGATATAAGCACCTGTGTGAAAGCACAGCCCTGCCATGGGCTGCTGGACACGTACACCGTGTCCTTCGTGGAGATGCTTCAACAGTGAGCTCTGTCTCTGTTGTCTCCTGTTTGTCACATTGTTTAATTTCTCTTTTTAATTGACTCAGACGTTGTTTAATTTCTCTGTTTAATTTGCTCAGACAGAGAGGCTGCAGGCAATGGCATTCTCAAATCATCTCTCAGAAACGTCGCAGGATGAGGGTGACGTTATTGGACATGGGTCCCAACATCCCTACCCACCACCCCAGCCAGCAAGAAGGAGGCAGCAACAGAGCAGGTGGGAATCAGGTGTGCACAGGACAAAGGCTGTTAGTGAGGAGCAAACCCAGCCTGCACGAGAGCTTCTTTCCTCTAACACACAAGCCAACAGGTGGGACAGCAGGTAAGAGGAAAGTTCAGCAGAGCACAAAGCTGACAGCAGTATTTACATCATTCATATGAGCATCACCTGAAGGGAGCTCCCAAAGTTCCCACCACATGAGGTGAAGGCAGGTGAAGACATCAAGCAACAAGACCTTGCCACACGCATGCTGCAACCACTGCAAGATTGGGTAAGGCACACGATTTTGAAGATTAATACAGGACCAACAGATACCTTAGAATACTCTCGTATTTTCAAACACCTTGCATCTGGCACATCCCGTGCTTTCCCAGTCATGTGCATTACATGAACAGATGTTTATCTCACTGGATTCAACACGTACAAACACAGAATAGAATCACAGAATCACTGAAGTTGGAAGAGACCTCTAAGATCATCCAGTCCGTCCAGCCACCAACCACCAGTGCTGCCCACTGAACCACATCCCTGAGCACAACATTGCCCTTTCCTTAAATACCTCCAGGGATGGTGACCCCACCACCTCCCTGGGCAGCAGTGCCAATGCCTGACTGCTCTTTCTGAAAGAAATTCTTCCTAATATCCAACTAATACAACACAACGGCCATTTCATCAGCTCTGCATTGGCAGACCCAGGCGCTTCACAGAGTTGTTTTCCACACTCGTTTCTTTTGGTGGGTGCCAGACCAGACTGGAACAAATAGAGGTGAGGAATGTAAGTTTAAACTTTCCCTGGAGAGCCACGAGTGTTTGGAGATCAGCAGCACCGCTCACTGAAAAGATTTGTAATAGCTTTGACCTTTGCGCGATCTCCTTTTGTCAAAAAGTACATATGGAAGAATTCTGGAAAAGAGCTCAAGGTAACACCGCTGCTCTGCGGATTTCTGAGGAAATTACAGAATGCAATTTATACTGCAGTGCTACACTCCCTGCACTGGTATTTCCCAGTGAGGGTCCCCCAGGAGCAGAGCAGGGATCCCAGCATGTTTAGGGACTATCCCTGGTCAAGCGCCTAGCATGATTTTCTAAGTATGCCAGGTGAACCTGAACTGTTTCCTACTTTTTTTTTTTTCTTCCCTCCAAAGACACACACAGAAATGAGCGTGCATCAGCCTAATAGCTCTGTGTACATTGCGCCTCATCTGTATTCAGCACATCACCAAAACGCGAGGAAGAAAATAGCCCCTGAAAAATAAATGTATGAGAGATAGGAGGAGACAAGAGCTGTGAGAAAAGCAAACAGCTCCTATCTGTGTTCTGACTTCCAGCATCTCCGTCACTCCCACTCCCTCTGAGCTGCTGTGTACAGCTCCGAGTGGTTTTGGACTCATCAATGTTCAGAAACATTAATATAATCTGTTCTGAGATGTGCACATATTACCTGTTCTGAAACATGAAGACAACAAGAAGCAGTACATTTTTGGTAGTTTTTTTCCTTTGTGCATTTTAGCTCGGAACAACAACAACAACAAAAAAATCCAACAAAATACAACTCTTGTTTCCAACCGCTTAAATGTCACTTTCCTATTATTTTTACAATCTGGTCTCAAGGAATATAAAGGGCACCATATCCCACTCAAAGAAGAATCACAGAGCTTTTCCTATAGTGATGGCAGGATGAGAAGCACCATCCAGGACAGCTGGAAGCAAAGCCACATGGCAGCAGCTTGGAGAAGGACACGACTTTGGGATGCTACCAAACAACCCATAAGGTTCTAATCTTCCAGCACCCCATCGCTAAGATTCCCATCCAGAAGTCTCCGTACCAAATGTGAGCGGCTGGAAGACTGCAGATGTCCCTGTTCCAACAATTTCATGGTTGATTCTTAGCAAGGAGTCTTAGTGTCACAAACAAAGCCCTGCCATTAGGAGTGATGCCACGGTGCCCATAGGATGGTGCCTGCTGGGACAGATGCAAGTGGGCACACAGCAGAAATTTCTGCTATGTTGTGAATACATTCTACTCTGCCAACTTTCCATTTAAATGACATTTGGCTGTGGCACTAACAGTACAGTATTGAAAATCAATAAGTGGAAAGTGTTTGAAAGCCAATCTAAATCAAATATTACAATATGGCGAAGTTAATCATCTGAAATTAACCTTATAACTGCTTGAACCACTCTAATCTATAAAGAAAATCAATATACGCATATCAGACCTTACTCCAAACCGCTGTCTGTTCCAGCTGACCATGCAAATGGAAAATAATAGCCAGGAGATGCTTATTTCCCTTTATTATATGTTAACACTCAGCACGGGGCTGAGATGCTCCATCACAAAGGATTTCCCAGCCAGACTTTGTTATGCAATGAAGGAATGGGATCCCCTCTGCAGAAGCCAGAGCAGCTCCATAGCAGCAAACCCACCCCAGGTTGCTTTCATGGCAGTTAATTTCATAGAGGCAGACAGCGCTGCGAGCGACTAAGAGGCTGTTTCATGAGGAGAATCAATTGCTTCTGGATGGAAAACCAGCTGCTGAAGTGGCACCACACCGCACCCTGGCTGGACTAAGCTCAGCCCCTGGGCTGCACAGTGGGCTCTATGACCTTGCCATCTCACTGGTGAGCAGAGTCAGCTCCGGGCACCAGGCATGGACACAGGCACGTAGGTACTCACAGCACGTGCAGCACTGCAGCCACCACACACAGCACCCAGGCTGCCAGCATGGCCACCTGCAGCACATCATGCTGCATCCTAGACCAGATCATAACAGCGGTCCCAAACATCTCTGCAGCTGATGCTGCCTGCATTTGCTGCCGCAGGGGGAATTCACCCCCGGGCTAACTGTTA